TGCTTTTGATACTATTTGGGCTGGTTGATCATGCTTCACCCATGATCTCTTGCGAGTAACATTGTTATAAACTATCCACATTTCGTCGCCAGTAACTAGGTTCTTCAGAAATGGATCATTCTCATTCTCATTGCGTTTCAGTAGCGGCGAATCACAGATGCTAATCCGTTGCGTCAAATGAATTTCCTTTAACTGGTGAGGGATCCATAAATCAAGTTTCTTGACATAACCAAGGGTTATGTCAATTTATTTTCAATGCATGTATGCGACACATTGAGCTTCTCTGCAATATCTCGTGTTGTGCTGTGACGATTTGAATCGATAATGGCCTTGATATGGGTTTCATCCACTTCGACTGGGCGGCCAGATCGTTGTGAATTTTTCAGTGAAAAATCACCGCAACGAAATCTTTCAAACCAATTTCGACACTGCCTTTCTTTTAAGGCTTCATCTCCATATACGGCACATAACTTCTTTTGTGCTTGCGATGCGTTCTTGCCTTGTCGGAAGTAATACAATAAAATGTGTCGGAAGTGCACGTCCTGTTCTTTCATTTTTAAATTGGGATGAAAACAAAACTAAAGAACTAAAAAAAAAATTTTTACTAATTAACCTATAAGCCCATACATTAAGAAAAAAATACAGGTTAGATGCTGTGGCCACGTTAACAAAACAAAAGAAAGTATAGAGTGAATCTGTCAACAAAAACGGCAATGACTTAGTTGCCCACCCAATAGCATAACGAAATTCGTGTCATTTGAGATTCACCATACTCTAATTGTTGCATCATTACTGACAATGGAAAAGGGGGGAGGGAACATATTCCAGTAAGGTATAACGTGGTTGGGAGTGTATTAATTATGTTTGGACGCTAAGAGCCCTGGTTTATTCCAAATTTGGAGGAATTGAGTTCTACTTCTTAAAATTATTTTTTTAATGAAAATATTCCTAAAGTTCAATTTCCGCTACTTGAATCCTGATTCTTCGGGTGAGTTAAGAGTATTTTTTGGCCAATTAATTTGTGAGAATGGCTGGCCACGTCACTCTTGATTTCTTTGCTTTTTCTATTAATCATGAACACTTAGTTGGGATTGGCAAATACCATTTAAATTAGTGTGGATGTTCGAAATAATAATTTTTGAAGTGCGTATTTACAATATTCGAAACGTTTCTAGTTCCACTGAATCGAAACGTATACGTGTCCATTGCTTGCGTAAAATTCAACACGCACTGTGTGTGTGCGTGTGTGTGTACTTTTAGATAGCCTTTCGCATTAGACTAATAGGAGTCCTGCATAATTTGTCTTAATACGTTGAGTATTTACTGCAGTAATTAACCGAGCAAAAAGGCTTACTGGATTTAGAATTTATTTTTGAATTTGCCTAGTGCATTAAAAATTGTGCATGTTGAACAGTTTGTGCTACACCTTATTATATAATAGAGTAGGATCGGATTGAGTTGAGGGAGGAGTTTGATTTTTTTCTGCGAACACCTTCACGTCTCAAATGAGTTCGTCAAAACTGGTTTCTCTTTTCAATTAGGCTTGAGGTTTTGGTTTTCATAACAGTGTATCGCATGTTTACTTTCTTTTGACTGGTATTTAAAAGTAAATGGCAAACAAGTTTGAGTTAGTTTAGAAGTTGATTTTAAGTACCCTTCCGAGTCGTCTATCTGAAGTGCTGTTCTTGTTATTATTTGCTAGTCATTAACTGATAAATACGATCTCTTGCACTTTAATGGTTTGCCTACACTTTTCCCTCCATGAACGACCTGTTCTAACATTTGACCCTCAAAAATAAGTCAGACATTATCTATCCGTTTTTCTTTGAATGAGCAATGAGATGCTATTATCTATCTGTCTGGTCATCATTTTTCAACCATAAAATATTTCGGTAACCGTTATTTCATCCAAGTAAAGAAACTTACTTGCCTAAATGAAGTCTTCGATATTGTTGGTAACGATTTTGTATCTGATTGCTTAGACCCATTTCCTACCTCATCTAGTGCTTTTCGAACCATAGCGTTAGACCACTTCCAGGAAATAACCCCAGTTTGTAAATCTTTCATTTCTTTATGTGTTGTCGGGTGTATTCGATCGTTGATGCCTCTATGTAATGACTAACTGCTGCAGCGTCATTTAGAGTTCATGATACCGAAGCACACAGGTTTAATTCAATTTGTTGGTCTAAATTTATCAGGTGAGCTCTAGTATATTTCCTGTGCTTAAAAGGAATCCTGAAACTTCGTCTCTTTAGTCATTCCGCTAGTGTGGTGCAGTGGTTAACCTGTCCATTCAGTTATGTGGATGCCCAATCGCTCCGGTTAGTTCTATTCAAGACTGGAGTATTAGGGTGCGATTTTTTTCACAGGAATATCCCCTCCCCCTCTACCCTAGTAATTTGTTGATAGTGCTTCCCTTAACAGGCTTTGAGTGTTTCTTTTTATTCGTAGTACAAAAGTAGAAGCTACGTGTTTCCTTTTCTTTCTGCTTACCCTTTTCATAATTTACCTGGTATTCCTTGCTGCTTTTCCACTTACTCCACTTGAATATCAAAGCATTTAATGATTTTCTATTCTTTACACTCCAAGTTAGTGTGTCTATATTGATTTGTTGTTTCTTTGAATGAGCTTATGCCTGTTTACTTACTTGCATCCTATTTACCACTTTTAGATCCACACATGGGAAGAGAAGAGGCGGGTGCAAAGGCCGCGCGAGCTAAAGGAAATACTCAACAATCTTCGACAACAGCAAAAGATTGTGGGAATGTAATTTTTCCACGCTTTCCATGCTTTCTACTCTTATTACTATTACCTATTCTAAAGAAACCTCAAAACCTCAACGTAAGGGATAAAGGGTGGGAGGAGGATTGAGAAGGAACAAAGACTATAGAGCCAGAATTAATCAGGTTAAACCCTATAGTAATTAAGTGCGTTGCCTCATTCATCATGGGATAAAGTTCCATAGTCATTTTTTAATGATCTCTCATGACAGGACTTAAAAAGCTTTTTCGATTCTCTTCATCATGGGGGTACTTCCATCCCAATAGGTTTTAGAACTTCATCAAGAGAGAGAGAGAGAGAGAGAGAGATTATGTTCATATCTTACGGAGGAATTGTAGATCAGATCGATTACTGCTTCATGCTTACTTTCTTCAAACTTACCGTTTCTTTTCATGCGAAAGAAGATATTGTGGGGGACAAGTTTTCATATGATTTCTGATCTATCTTCTTTTCTCACAATTCTTGTAGCATCCATTTGATGCAGAAGGCAGCCAGTTAGCAGATCATCTTCGATTTTTTTACAATAGATTCATCAGTGCGTGCTCATCTCGTTTTCATTTTCAGAGTCGATGACACCGAGAATTTACACACAATTTCTCTTTGACGTAATTTTTTCGATAGTGGGTATTATTTACATTTTGTATGGTATTTATCATTTAATTTCTGCAAACTTTTCCTAACCAATTCTTTGAAAGTGCAGTTTCAATGGCATCTGCTTTTGGTACGGAAATTCCATTAGCTATTTTGGCCATCGCACCTTCTCTAAGAAGACCTAACCATAACTCCAATCTTCATTTTTCTATTTGTGTTTCAATGGTTTTCAGAGAGACCCTCACTTGTTTCCCTCTATGCAATTCTAACCTTATTCTTTGGATGTGTCTTAGACAGATGCTTATAAGGTAGCAGACATTCGTCTGCTCTTTGGATTTTTGTACAGTACTGTCTCGTGGCGGTCTCCTTAGCCAGTTAATTGCCTCTATCCTGGTGAGATGATATTCTTCCGTCGCCACGTTATTGTTCGTCCACCTAAATATTTGAGGCTCGTATATTCTGCTCACATGTGGCATATTCAATACTTATTCTCTCTGGGGTCTTTCCATCCCCCCCCCCCCCCCCCCCCCCCCCCCCCCACCCCCTACAAGCGACTTCCTCTGCATTAAAAACGTAACTTCGTCGAAAGTTGTTTCAATTTGCAAATGCGAGTTTTTTATGCCATTCGAATTTCTACCCTTTTTCATCTTAATTGCATTTTTTTATTCTTGTTCAAAAGGAAAGTCATTCTTCTGTCGTTATCCTTATTATCTTGAAAATCAAAATATGTCGTGAAATATGTGCTGAGAAATTGGATTCTATCTATGGTTTACCTAGTTTATAGTTTAATCACTTGGAAGAAGCGAGGGAAGTCGCTGAGTAGTTCAATTCTAATCAGTGTTAATTAATTAGTTGGAAGTCGAATCGAATTTGTTCGGCTTGTTTGATTGGTGCTTGCAGGGTTTATTATCCTTGCATTGGTTTATTATTTTTTTCGGGTTCCTGTGCTTGTACTTAGGAATGCAACATAATATAACTGGTTTTGTATAATGCATTTTTTATAAGGCTCAGTTTGTGCTTTATAATAAAATTACTACCACCCAGATCCCAGTAAGAGAACTTGCAGCTCAAACGACTGTTTTCCCATTAGCAAAATGAATGTGCTTTCTTGTAGTGAGATGGGATGCATGGTAGATAACCGACTGTCTTGTTGTTGGCCGATAATTGATTCGAGCATTTCTTCAGTGATGGGCTTGAATGCGTCAAAATGTAATAATCTTAAGCGTGCCCCTTGATTGCCCTCATGGTATTCGACTAGGCTTCCTAAAGCAAGCAGTCTAGGACATATAAATTAAATTAAAGAAGGTTATAATTTGTTTATAGTTCATCAGGCGTCTTCCTCGTTTTGCTGGGTCAGGTAGCTAGAAACAAGGCAAGCCAGAATTCTGGCACTTTCATTCATTGTAACCTATCTATTTATCAGAATGAAAACCTCTCTCAATAGTTTTAAATGGTCATCTTAGGTGTGAGAACCTAAATCAGGATGGATTTAGAATTAATGTTCCTCACGATCGTAAACATGACCATGATGTATTAAGATGTCACAACTAAACTGTCGTAATACCTGCGGATCACCACTCTCCCTCGGTTCTCGATACACATCATCATTTATTTTTCCTCAATTTCAGGCTCTCGGAGAATTCCCGACTACGAATTCAACGATTACCTCAGCCATCAACATCGGTGGTATCAAATCCACATCCCTCCACTTCTGCATCCATTACCTCATCTGTTGCAGCAGCTAGGAAAGCCAATCCAGTCCCCCAGTGCCTATCCTCTGGTGTTTCCCTGAACTCTAGTACTCGACGTGTCCCTATCTCCAATGGCAGTGTAGTGGGCAGCAGTAGTCGACAACAACAACAACAACAAAAGCCCACAATCGTTCATCGTTTACACAATATCCCCAACCTCCTTCAACGCACCAGTGCCGCCAGCAGTAACACTGCCGTTGTCTGGGGACAAGATGGTTCGCTGCCTTCTTTCATCCATTCTTCGGCTTCTGCCCAAGTCTCCTCACTTCCTCCGCCAAGTGGATTTCCTCCTGGTTCTTCATCCTCCTCAAATTCCTCTACCTTGACGAAAGTTGCAAGGAAGACGCCGCACATTGAGCTCAGCGCAGGAGCTCCTGAAGTACAGGTATGCCGCTATTTATAACTTTATCGTCACCTACCTCTTGTTGCTTACTTAAATAAATTTCCTCTAGCCTGAGTGAACCAGTCTCTTATCCTAGTTGATCGTCACTTGCATCGTAGTTTAGTGGTCTCTGGAATTACGCACAAAACACTCAAGACCCTTTGAAGAACGCGTCTTATTTGGAGCAGCACACTAATATATTGCGTTAACGAAATTTGTAGTCAAATCGTGTATCAAGAGGAGTTTATCATGTGGTCCGACACTGAGCCGGAAATCGTAATCGCTTTAAGCCCCATGGGTATTGTAGGGTTTCAGAACGAAGGTATTTTCGTGGAAGCTACGCGTTTTATTTTATCGCACTCATATAGCCATTAAGTCTCGAAGAAGAGTCATATAGGAGTTTAGGGTAGTGCTATTGCTTTGGAAAGTCAACGGCACCATTTTCCTCACTTTTTAATTCTCTCCAATTTTTGGAATTATTACTGTGATGGGAACCTCTTAATAGAGCACACTTACGTCCGTTGGTTGATGGCTCGGGCTTCTTTACCTTGAACCCTTGGCATATTTTCCATTTCCAATTTTTTTCTTATCCCTTCTTGTTGAAGGGGTTAATTGCCGTGACTCGAGTGGTTATTTTACTTCTGTATTCTCTCTCTTTTGCCTTCTTCAAGCGCATATCCTATCTTCACGGAATGGGTTCTTGTGCGTATGTGTGTGCGTGTGCGCGTGTCGGTGACTCGGTTCTCAGTCGAGCAAGAATTCATTTCAGGCCATTACTTGATTTTCCCCTCCCCCGCCTCATTTAGTCATCGATGCATTTGCGTGGATATCGCGCCTTAAAAGACGCCATATTCACGACGTTAATTATCGATGCGCACACAGCCATCTGCATTCAGGCTCGGCCATATTATTTCATTTTATGGACTAGTTTGGATTCCCATTGAAAGATTAGAGCTAAAATAAAAGATGAAATACTTAGGGAGAACGTAGTTAATTGGTAATCATTCCTCGTTCAGGCTCTTACGAAAGTGCTTTTGATTGTTTCAAATTAAAAGGCTTGTTCGCTATTTGGGTTATTTTATTTCTTTTAATCGAGTTTGCCATTAAGGCTTATTTATCGTGTTGTTTTAAAATCGATTGAAGAATCCGGATTTTGGCATCCATGGGGACAGTTTTTACATTTGTCTTCCTTAAAGGTCACGTTAATCATCTTGTGTCCTACAGCTTCTGTTGTGTTTAGGTAGGATTGGTCATAGCACTAGGTAAGACAATTTTTGATTCCATTTGGAAAAATGACGAGCTTAATGCGTTAGCGACTTCGTCGACAGTTGATTGATTGGTAGCCATTGATAGAATTCCAGGTTCTTATAGAAAGGAATATAATTCCTAAAATACTATTTTTCGCATTTGAGCATTTCCTCGTGGGTTTAAATTGCTTGAGGATTAAACTTTGCAACTTACCTTCAACTTTCCGAATCGTTTTTCGAGTTTTGAAGGTTTTAAAATGTTATTGGACAGTCGTAGAGGAATGGGAGAATAGGGGAAGAGGGAAACGAGCCTCGGTGCTGCGCGGGTGGAATCGGAGTTAGTTGCTTTACTCGATGATGAAAATGAATAAAACTGCTATCTGGTAATTAGAATAGCACAGAGCAATGGTTTAACACGATAGCGGACTACGTTTAGTAATTGAGGGGGGTATTTCTGTTAAGAGGCGTCCGGATAATTTTTGAAATTCCATTTCCTTCAGAGAACTTTGCATTTCGTCGTTGGTTTTTTCACAATTATTTGATTTTATTTGATACAATTAAACTGAGAGTTTGGGGCTTTAAATATGGATGGCACTTCAGTCGTTGCATTCTTTGTGGATCAATATCAACACATTTGTTTCAAGTGGGTGTGTCCCCCTTAAACGACGTCGTTAATTAACGACGCTCATGTTTGTCCTTTATGTGGTGTTTACGGAGTAATCACTTATACTAATACTCAATTAATTTGCTTTTCAATATTTGGCCTTATGAAAAAAATGCAAACCGTGAAGTTTTATCTTAAATTAAGTCTGCCTGTAGTACCCCAACCGTTTTGTGGTAATAATCTTGGAGCACATGGTCATGAGTTTTGTATGGCAGTGTTTGGCTTTCGCTGCATCGATCTAAGTATGTGATTTTGTAATGAATCACCATTTTTCGTGCACTCGAACAACTGATTTCTGAACTGCGTAGTATTTCTTTTAATTAAACAATGTGAATTATGGAAAGTTATTTATTTATATCAAATGGCAGCGTTTTAATAGTTATCATTGGCCCTTTAGTTGACTTTGGGCTTCACAGAGGGGAAGGAAAATCAAAATGAAAAGTCAAGAGGGCGGCGGGGAACAGAAGAGTGTTTCGAAGATGTAAAAGAGACAGA